TTTCTCTGTGTTCTTTATCCTTTTGCTTAACCTACCTCAGTCTGGATATTTTCCTCTGACCTACATTCCACACTTGTGTGTAATATGCTCTTTAGCCTATCCATTGAATTGTTTCCAATTTTGATATTTTTTCATTTCCAGAATTTCCATTTTATTTACTTTTGCAGTTTCAAATTTTCTGCCAAAATGCTCCAATTGTCATATATTGCTTTGAACAAATTAATCAGTTATAGTCTGGATATGACAATGCCAGTACTTCAGTCTCCCCTTGGTCTCTTCTTTACAGTCAGCTTTTCCCCCTTGGTTTTCAGTCTGTTCTTAACTCTTTGTATGCCTGAGGACTTTTTTTATTGTGTGCTGGATGTTATGATTGCAAAATTATAACACTAATTTGTAACCTGAGGCTCTGGATGGTATCTTCCTCCATACGGAATTTACCTTTGCTTCTGGCAGTTTTTCTAGATACAGTTGTGACTCTCCAGATTGTCTGATTGAAAGGACAGAAACAACTAGTTCAGGAGCCCTTGCCAGCCTCTAGAGAAATCCTCAGTCCTGACACATTAATACCCTGCACAGATCGGAGACTGCTGGCCACGCAGACTCACCAAGCCACAGACTTGTCTTCCACAAGCATGTTCTTACGTCAGCTACGAAGTGACCAAGCCACATGTACTAAGGGTTGAAATCAAAGATATGTACAGGGTATTAAACAAATACCAAGGGGAACAGTTGACTTGAATACAAGGTCAAAATCAGCCACAAGTTCTACGATCCAGTGCTGATATCAGATACTAGCTTCAAGGACAGTTTCTTTTCAAAGGCTTATTCCAGATTTGTGATATATGCATTTGCCAGGGACAAATTTATACTTCTGAATTAACCAATGCAGCAAAAGCTTTGAATCTGCTCACAGTCTATTTAGAAGCATTTGTGGTGAACAATGGAGGAGCCCAATTTGTCATATTCCTGCTTGCTAATCCACATCTGCTGGAAGGTGGACAGTGAGGCCAGGATGGAGCCGCGGATCCACACTGAGTACTTTCAGTACTTTCGCTCTCAGGGCGCAATGATCTTGATCTTCATGGTGCCAGGTGCCAGGGCAGTGATTGCCTTCTGCATCCTGTTGGTGATGTGCGGGTACATGGTGGTGCCGCTGGACAGCACTGTGTTGGCCTACAGGTCTTTGAAGATGTCCACATCACACTTCATGACGCAGTTGAACGTGGTCTTGTGGATTCCGCAGGATTCCATGCCCAGGAAGGAAGGCTGGAACAACACCTCCGGACACCAGAACCGCTAGTTGCCGATGGTGATGACCTGGCCGTCGGGCAGCTTGGAGCTCTTCTCCAGCTTTTTGTCATCAGCTGTAGCTGTTCTTTGTACCGTCTTCTTTCTGTGAGCCGTACCCTTGCCGCCAGTCTGGACCTGATCCAGAAGTTTGGCTAACTTTTCTTGATTTATGCTGTTGGTTAATCTGAAGCAGAGAAGGTCCTCCAATTTCAGTGTGCAGCAAGAGCAAGATGGCTGCCCAGGAAGATTTCTTAAATAAGAAACAAAACCCACTAACCATAAATGAAAAAATTGATAAATTTGACTACATTGGAAATAATAATTTGTGTGTATCAAGAATTACCCTAAAGAAGGAGGGGAGACAAGTCACAAACAGGTAGAAAATACATAGCTGACAAAGGACTGATATCTATAATATATAAAGAAATCCTACAAATGTATAAGAAAAAGAAAAAACTAAAAGAAAATGGGCAGAAGACAAGTGGAAACATGACTTCAGGGTTTTTCAGTCTCAATGAAATTAGAAAAGTAGCAAATTTAGAGCACAGTGAGATTCCATTTTATGCTACTAAGTTTATGGTGATTTTCTTTCTTCTCACCTCAGATACGTATACTATAAACTTTAGCATGCTGAACTTAAATGCAATTTTATTTTATTGTATACCTGGTTGCCACTGTATGATGCATTGTTGTTGCTGTTCTGCAGAATACTTTTCCTTCTCTTAGTGCAGTGGTTCTTAAAGTGTGGTCCCCAGACCAGAATCATCATCATCACCTGTGTACCTCTTAGAACTGCACATATTGGCCAGGTGCAGTGGCTCATGCTTGTAATCCTAACACTTCAGGAGGTTGCAGGTCGCTTGAAGCCAGGAGTTCAAGACCGGCTTGGCCAACATAGGGAGACCCCCCCCGCCCGCCGCCGTCTCCACAACAAGTTAAAAAAAAAAAAATTAGCCAGGCATGGTGGTGCATACCTGTAGTCCTAGCTACCTGGGAAGCTGAGGCAGGAGGATTGCTTGAGCCTAGGAGTTTGAGGCTAGGATTGCACCACTGTACTCCAGCCTGTGGGTCAAAGAGTGAGACCCTGTTAAAAAAAAAA